ACAGTGTGATAAAATGTTACTAAATGCACTATGTTTTTGTATTGTCTATATAATGATGGTGTTAATGACTCGAAAGTTGGCGCAAATGAAACTACATTTTTCTCCTTTGTTTGACGAATGACGACTATGCCCAAAATGCCCAAAAAATGTTATTGAATTCTGATTCAAATGCAAAATCGTTATTGAATCTGATTTACGCACAAATGATCGTTTTGATGGCTAATGTATGTAACTTTACGCAGTTGTTCGCCTTTTCACGCAACTAAATTGATATTTTGTCGTAATAAACAGCAAAAGGTGTAGAAAGGGAGCCATACCGCTAAATGGATTATAGTAATCGTTTTGGAGATGCGTAGTAGTAGTAGAGTGATTTTTACTTTTTTTTTCTATTTTTGTGTTGTTTTCCAGGCAAAATGTCCTGAGCCAGATGCCGCCACAGCCATGGCTGTGGGCTCTGACTCCACAGCAGTTGCCTCAGATGTTACATACAACATTGGACCACAGGTGAGTCAGTAAAGGATGCTGGTACAGGCCGGGTGAGTCTCCAAAGACCTTAGACCGGTTAAGACGGAACAGTTGATAAAAACAACGAGGATTGACCGCTAATAAGACTTTGAAATGAGTTGTTTATGTTTTAAGAAAGACGTAAGGCAGTGCTAAGGTGTCTTATCAAGATTTCCGATACGGACTTCTGACTTGGGAAGACAAAATACTGGCTAAGTCTAATTTGGTGTTAAAGGTGAAATGATAGTCTTTTGAGTATTGGGTTAAACGGAAAACGAATGGAAACTAGGGTTTCGTTCTTCTCTCTTATAGTTATTTCATTTCATTTGAATAGTTCTGAATGTAGATTTGTTTTTTCATGTACGTTGTAATTTTGTTTATTCTAGCTTTCTTTTCTGTTTAAGGACTTCATTTTAAAGCTTCCTGGCATAAACTTCAAGAACTACCGGTAAAACTTTCGGATGGCTATATTCAATGATATGCTTTATTTGAGTTCTGGTCCTGTGCAAGACATGACTTCTTTATCTCTACTTGTATACGTTAGAGAAGTTCTGAAATTCTTGTCTTAAGCCCAGTAGTAGGTTACGACGGACAGTTTAGACCTCATCCTGGAACCCTTTTTTTTGCTCTGTGAAAGATAAATTTTAATTTTTTTAAATTTATTTTTCCAGATCTGTCATGAGAAACGTGGAGAGTGTTCAAGAACTTTTCACACTGCCTCAGGAAAGGCTTGCAAATATTTTGGGCAATGCTAACAGTGCTAAACAACTCTGGGAGTTTATTCACACCGATAACAAAGGTCGTGTGCAGCCACAAACATCCTCGAAAGTAAGAAGATGAACTTCTTGGACTTGTTGAAAACAAGCTGTCACAGTATAGTATGTATAGAGGAAATAAAAATTTACCATGGGCAAACACGATCGTTTGGGTATTCAATAAAAAGTCAGGCAAGTTACTCTTTGAATAAGATAGCCCACCTTTGATATGTGTAAACACGAGCAAGGAAAGCTGGGTCGAGTAAAGAAAGGCGAGGATCGCTGTTGTAGATTATGACGGTTTCCTTCATCATCACCATCTCAATTAGGTCAGTAAAAGCCGGTTAGGCAACACACTAACCACTTAAAAATGCAAAAGTAAAAATTACAAGCTACAGTAAGTACAGTACAGACTAAAAAGTGAACTCTACAAATTGACATGCTCTTATTAACCTAATGAACTAAGGTAATTCTTAAATTCGGGTTGAGACGTAACATCAGACATGCAGGGAAGAGCTTATTCCAGTCTATAGCGGTTCTTGAGAAAAATAGAATTTGAACACGTCTTTCTTTCAGTGAGGTTCAAGAAGTGTATGGCTGCTCCTGGTTCGGGTCTCATTACTAAAATTTAAAAAAGCGCTAATCTTAATGTCAACCAAACCATGAATCATTTTATACATAACGATCAAGCGAGATCTTTTTGTCCCTTTTACAAGGATGAAAAGTTCTAATTTTTCTAGTATGGACGTGACGCTCGACTACCAGTCATAATCGTTTGTACAAAAACGGGCTGCTTCCCTTTGCACTCCCTCAAATGTGACAATGTGGTATTTAAAATGTGGTTCCCGAGTAACGGACGCGCACTCGAGCTTAGGCTCATAAATATAAATATTTTATCTCTCAGTTGGTGAGTGCGCTATTATTGGTCAATTTTCCGGGCCGTTTTTCACTGCACGGCCCGCCAAATCCCAAGGTTTGTTTTGGTCGCCAAAATGTCTCGAAGAAAAATTTGAAATATATTGAAGGGAAAAGCACGCAAACGAAGAGAAGGAACAAAACTCAGAGGCAGACATCCCGAACTTTACAGTTGGTTTCTTCGAGTTTCAGTAACGCTCGATTTCTGCTCGATTTCCACTCGATTTATTGCCCGCACGCTTTGCGCTTGGACCATAAATCTGAGCGGAAAAATTCGGTCCGTAACGATAAACAATAAAACGATGTGCTTTAGGTAAATTTTAAATAGAAAACATAATCTAAATACCCGTAGATGGTTTTTTTGTATTAAAAATTGAACAAGATATTAATAATATCGAATGGACGGACTGTGCACAGACCTTGAATGTAGAACATTTACAATTTTCAATATCCAAGGACCACTGTACTGCAAACAGCCGGCAAATAACTGCTTAAATTAATCGTCAGACTCACAAAAGCTTGTAAAGGAGATAATTTTTATGAAACTGATATATCACAAATAGGCAGCAAGGACAACTGCACTAAGTGGACTCATTTTGAGAAAAACTTGGGTAGCAAACTACAATTGTGCAAGGTATCAATCGTACCAAAGCGTTCACGTCAAAACCTGGAGAAATATCTCTGAGAACCTGTTTTGAGCAAATAGCCTATTTCCCATGTTGCTTATGTTTTTCGTGAATTATGAGCAATAGGCATGACTAGTTTTCTTCATTCTGATTGGTGACAAGACAATAAATCTATTTAAGTGAAGATTCCATCACACCACGCACACTTTTCGAGCATGTAGGAGCCTGAATAAAGAAAAGCTACTTTAATATCAACTCGGCTCGATTGGCCCTCAGTCGCTCTAAAAACGACGGTAGCAAACACGGGAAGCTTGCTAGCCTGCAGAGAAAGCGTAATTTTGGCGAACGAATGCTCAGTATTTTCTTAGCGAAAATCGTGGCCGCTATCTTTTGTTTTAACGGCAGCAGAAGGCTGGGGAGAGAAAGAAAGTTGTACCAGGAGGGCGGTCGATAGTCAATAGTAAGGAGAGTGGTAGGGGAAGGGGAGTGAAGATTGCGCCTGCCCGAGGTCATTGTTATTTTGCAAAACTCCGTTCCCCCACGAACGGAATTCTTGATTGGTGCGGTTAATCTCCAGCTGTCAATCACAATCCAAACGCGTCATTTGAACATTTCGCTCTTGGGGAAAAAGAGAAAAACGGTTAAGTTGTTAGTTTCAATATTGTTTTCGAGGAAGTACTTCTGTCAGTGTCTTTCGGACTTAAGTGTCTTTCGCTAATTTCCGGAATGCAGTGACGCGCAACTAATCAGGGGGTGTTTGCTTTTCAAAAGCAACAACAGACATTCAGAATTCAAGATTGCCGGAAGTAAATTTTTAACTCGGTGTTGTAGCTTTTACAGTCAAGCTTTAAATTCAAATCTTTAGTTCGAACTTTGAATTTTAGAATATATTAGCGCTGAACGCCTCTCACACAGCCAGCCCTTGAACTTTATCTCATTCTAAATGAACTACTTCTGCTTTTTATTTGTTCTTTCTTTCTTTTTTTTTAATCTGTTTGACGGGGACTGGGTTTGGCTGAATACCTTTCACATCTCCGTTCTTTATTTTTTTTTTAGTGAGAATCAGTAGCTTGAAACACAAGCTTGTTGTGTTTGCGCTCAATAAGCAACTCTCTAAGCAATCATATGCGGCTCTGTGGGTGTAAGTTGATCCGTTGCCATGGAGGTTGATATCCAACAACTTCTTTTATTTAGAGAAAATCACAGTAAGTTATTGAGTTTCTCATCTCCAACTTGTATCGATTGTATTTTAAGTATGTGTTTACAGAATTTGATGGTTTTGTATAAATGTTCGCCTTTTTTCATCTTGATTTCTAGTGATCTCAGTATTATAGTATCTCTCCATGTGTTCTGCTTTCTTTAGTTATGATTTTTGACGGGGAGTGGGTTTGGCTGAATACATTTTCATCTCCGCTTCGTTTGTTCGCGATCAGTGAGCGACTCTCCAAGCAATCAGACGTGGCTTTGAAGGTGTAAAGTTGATCTGTTGCCATAGAGGTTGAGATCCAACCCCTTTTTATTTCATTTTTGGTCTTCGAAACAGATAAGTTCTATGCTTTTGAAATCACATTTAATGAAAGTAATTCACTATCCCTGTGACATTTGAAGTGGTCAGCTGTCGTTCATTAGTCGTTGATTAGTCGTGGAGGAATTCACAAATCAACACCTCGGTGACTACTTCTCCTTTTCTGAATTTTGGAGATTTATTTTGAAATAATCTGCGCTAGGATGGATTTGAAAATGACCGAAATATTTTAATAACAAATCAGATGGAGAAAATGAACAGTATACAGAACCTTACTTTCCTCTTTTGGTCAATACGTTTAAGAATAAGCTGGAGGGATAAATGTACTTATTCCTTACAAGCAACATTTTCATTGAAAAATTTACCCACGTGTGGGCGATTTTTTTCATGGAAATGAGTCGCTGTAAGAGAGGAAACCTTTTATGCGACATATTTGTTTACAGAATTTGACGGTTTTGCATTAATTTTTACCTTTTTTATCTGATTTATTTTGATTTCAGTATTGTGTTCTTCCAAATGGATATGTTTAGTGCTTTCGGAAATTACATTTTTTTTTAATTCAAAGTAATTCACCATACTTGAAACATTTGAAGTGGTCTGCTGTCGTTCAAATTCTAAGCTGCCGACAGAATTGTTTGTTACTTGAATGTTTCCGGATGATTAGTCTTGGAGGAATTTACAGATCAACGCCTTGGTGACTACTTCTTCTTTTCTGAATTTTGGATATTTGCTTCAAAAAAAATATGCGCTTAGAAAGGTTTGAGGATGACCGAAATATTTCCGTAAAAATCAGATGGAGACAATGAATAGTACAAAGAACGTTATTTTCTCTTTTTTCCTTACAAGCAACATTTTCATTGAAGAATTTACCCACGCGTGAGTGATTTTTGTCATGATAATAAGTCGCCTTAAGAGAGGAAACCCTTTGCGCGATCGATTGCAAACAGCCATCGATCGTTTACGAAACGGTTATAATTATATGGCCCTAAGCCTTTCGTGCTCATCAAAATGAATCTGAGTTACCCTAAAGAGCCGCGTGGTAATTCCTCCACACTAGAGATCTTTTTCTCCAGCTCACCCCAGTTCAAGTTCATTTGGGACTCGACGCAAAAAACTTCCCTTCAGCTCGCAATCGTCGTTGCAACTGTCGCTTGTCCATTCACTGTTCTTTTAAACATCGTAGTGATTGCAACAATAAAAAAAGTTAGACAGTTACAAACAAACTCCAACATTTTGATCGCAAGTTTGACCGTGGCTGATCTTTTAGTTGGCGCAGTTTGTATGCCACTGACGATCAGTTTAGATACGCTGATTCTTCAAGGTAATGCATCAGAAAACATCATATGCACAAGAGTTCTCGTTGCTACGCTGGT